GACGTGTTAACGTTCAAATTTGATCGTTTACACGTCAAACGACACAACCCAAACTTCAAATCTTATGTTTTCTACCAGAAAATCAGCCAGATTGTGGCGGCCATAAGCGATCGTAAAATACTGGATAGGGGAAATGGATGTAATGTCGGCCTAAATGCCCGTATTTTAGGCCCATACATATATTCAGCAATCGACTAAATTTTCAATAGCGACCAAAAATATCCATTTGTACCGTCTCAATGAAGCGTTCATCTAGATAAAATTGATAAATAGCAGATTTTTAGCGATGAACCCAATCTTAGATCCATAGGCCAACATTAGAGCCAATTTCCCTATTCCAATAATTACCTCCAGAGTCCATATATGGTATTAGAAAACTCCGGATTCAACTCCAAATATCTTAGGGGTTATGTCCAGTGCTCTAAACCCATAAACGCCCGAATTATTTCACAATAAAAATAAACTCGTGATTTTTTCTGGAGCATTTTGATGTACAGGGTAGGGTGTTCACATATTATTGAGGCGTTTCTCAAAAGAATCGTACGCGGCACGCACCTGGTCCATCGGCGTCTCGTCCCAGATCATGGAAATGAGCTTCTTAAATTGGTCCATAGTGCTCACTTGATGTTCGCTCTGCTTGGCCAGCATATACGACAATACATGAAAGGCCAGGGCATTAAGGTCCGGGGAGCTGGGAGGCCACAAAGTCTTATCGAGAAAATCAGTCAAATTCTCCCGACACCACGCTTGGACGATATTCGGCGTGTGGGCCGGTGCGCCGTCCTGTTGAAAGACGTAATGATCCTTCCCGTAGAGGTCCCGAAGTGCCGGGGCCACAACCTTCTCCTGAACCTCGGTCTAATAGCAACAATCAATACGAAACTAACGATTTTAAATTGGCTCACCACTTTAGTAGCCTATTGGTCCCAAGCAAACGATTAACGTACCCTATTCTAGTTGAAATTCTATTACTACACTATGTTTGTTTTGATTCGCTATGAAAGTTTGACAGATAACATCAGGGGTGTGTGGATTCATGCAGAACATGCAAGGGTGAGTGAAATAGCTTGGGAGTGCTTGGGACCGTTGTTCTAGTACTGAGTGAGCCAAAAATAATAATGATTTTCTTCGGGACCCAGTGGTCTTAGAGTTACCTCTATGATCCCATTGCACATCGGACCGACAGATTTGCTGGAGCAGGATCTTCAGGAACGATAGAAAGTGGGAAATCAAGACGAGCGGATCGAAAATGGTCATTAGAACACGCAGCACTTCCCGCTTCGTCGGACGTCGTTGGCCTTCTAGCTGAGCCGGGTCGTAGCGGCTCCATCCGACTTTGTAGGTAAAGACGTCGTCGCTCTTGTTCCACCACATGTCTAACACCTTCTCAGTGGCCAGCTCTGGAGATAAGTCGAGACATTTTTCGTCGGTGTTTGCCTCCTGTAGCGATGAAAGTACTTTTCTCGAGTTGCTTACCCAATTTCGGATCTCAAAGCCACCCTGCTCGTGTATATGCTTAACGTCCTTCGCCAACTGGATTGCTTGCTCTTCGGTATCCACACTGACGAGCATGTCATCTACGTAATGCGACTTCATGATAGCTTCAACAATCAATACGAAACTAACGATTTTAAATTGGCTCACCACTTTAGTAGCCTATTGGTCCCAAGCAAACGATTAACGTACCCTATTCTAGTTGAAATTCTATTACTACACTATGTTTGTTTTGATTCGCTATGAAAGTTTGACAGATAACATCAGGGGTGTGTGGATTCATGCAGAACATGCAGGGGTGAGTGAAATAGCTTGGGACTGCTTGGGACCGTTGTTCTGGTACTGAGTGAGCCAAAAATAATAATGATTTTCTTCGGGACCCAGTGGTCTTAGAGTTACCTCTATGCTAATAGTACGCGGCGTGATTTTCACGTTTTTCTCGATAAACACCAGTGGTAACTTTGATTTTCTCATAATGGTGGATATATTACCACTGAAAAACCGACATGTAACTTAAACTTAACTCTTGATCGAGAATCCATAACGGCCGATTCAAATGTGCAGCGATTCCATCTGTCAAAAGCATAGAAATGTTTTATATAGATAAAAATAATTTGTCCGAAAACCAACTCCTAAATTTTGTACGCGTGTTCGTGGCTAGGATAAATAGTTTCCGCGAACATGGGGGCAGATGTCAGTTTTGTACTTTGATCAGAAATTTCTTTGTTATTTGTATGATCATTCATGTCGGTTTGTCGGTGGTTAAATCACAATTTTACTTTGAATGTCATGCTACAATATAAAAAAAAAAAATCCCATACCACGTTTTGATAATCAAGTTGTACATCGGACATGTTGCATTGGACGATTTTTCTCAATGACATCAATGATTGTTAGATTGGACGTTTTGTTCTACATAGTAGATTCCCTTTCACAGATTTCATAATAGAGTACCTAACATTAGATTGGTTTTCCACGAGGGGGGCGACACATCTAAATCTCAATTCTAGATGCTCCGAGAATCTCACACTAGCGAATGAATCTTCGAAAAAACTTCTATCATTTTTCACATCTACTTGCAACGAGCATCATCTTTTGGCAAGAAATCGTCAGAATCGTCATCAATCTTCTTTCTATCTAGTCAGCGTGTGCGCAGCTAACCACAGCAAATCAAAAACTTTCCTGCATCGCAGATAGAGTCGCCCCCCTCGGTTTGCCATGCCTTTAGAAAATGAGCACCAATCATGTTAGGAAGTCCAAATGTCCGAAGTAACTGTGAAGTTCCGTTGCTAAGTGCATCCTTCTGTTCATTCATACGTTTACCCCTCGTTGTATATAACGGATTATAGCTGCAATGCGTTAAAATAACACTTTGAAGAAAATTCTTCAAAAAATATCGTCAAGTGTATTTTGTATGCGCACTAGCATCTATCATCCACATTCCCAAGCATTGTTTTGCAATTTTTCACTAGTTGCTTTTCCCTCGTTCTGTAAACGCGTCAGCTGTGTTGAATAAAAACAAACCAGATGGAAGTCAGTGATGTCGGTTCTACGAAATTTTCCGTAGATCTATAGAATTGATTGATTGATAAGTTCGAAATGAGGTGGCTTGCTCAATGCTTCAGTGGCGCCACCATGACAAATGCAAGCACATTCCCAACTAAAACATTATTTGCGATGAATGTGATTGTAAGTGTTATGTCTGTTTGTCTGTGGTGTATGTTAACCTTTCAAAAATGATCCATGTTCCACTGTTCAATTGACCTTTTAACAAACCATATTATTATTTTGGAATTATTTTTTTTTTAATTTCTGCATCAACAGGCTCGTGGCCTCAATGATAGCTAGTTAACACTACTGACTGTCATGTACATAATAAAACAATACTAAAATCTTAAAACTACTCGTTACGATTTGTTCTCCACGAAAATAAAGCGATAAATTTTTGTGTGACATGTAAAAGTTAAACACACACACACTTAGAAAAAAATAATTTTACACGTGACCTAACAGGAAGAGGTGACAATTGGCTTCTTACTCTTTAATTTCTATCTCTATATCTATCTTTATCTATGTCTATCTCTATCTTACGCACATCAAATCAGCCAATCACGAGCTGGTTCACGTTTGACAGAAAAGTGGTTCATTTTTGCCCTCGTATTGTCACCTCTTCTCTTAGCACGTGACGAAATCCATCTTTGACATATAGGATCAGACGTAAACAAATATTTCATGTAAAATTAAGTGCAGACTGAGACTGAAAAGTTTGTTACTCGACGAAAAGTACGTTTGATTGAGTTGAATTGACGCTAAACAAGATTAAATAAATGATTTATTTTTAATTTTTGACACTAAATTTATTAGTTGACAGCTCACTCCCGTAGAAAGTCCAACCGAGGGGCGCTAAGATTATGATTTTTGTTAATGTAATTGCACTTATTTAAAATATATGCCAACATTTCAAAGGGGCGTAGTTGCTTTTGTAAACAATGACTTTAGCCTTCGATTTCTCGCAAATAAAAGCTCACTCCTCCAAATTAACAATGATAGCTGGTAGAGGAAACATTCCTATACCTGTTGGTGTAATTAATTTTCATGAGTGAGTTTTAATTTGCGAGAAATCGACGGTTAAAGCCATTGTTTACAAATTCAAGTGGTAAGCGTGATTATCTCTCACCCCAGCAGGCCTGGGTTCAATCCCAGTCGACGCCGCCGGGATGTTCTGAGGCATAACAACACTGATCACGCCTTCCTTCGGAAGGGAAGTAAAGCCATTGGTCCCCGGTTTATGAGTATAAAGGGGCGATGGCGTCGGTAGCATTGGTGCTCAGCACGGAAAACAAATCAAGAAAAAACTAATTGCCCGTAAAACAAATCCAATAAAAATACAATGATTTTCTTTGTCATTGTAACCACGATATTTGCTCTCAAAACATTGGAAATGTTTGTCCATTACCATAAAATCACAACGAAATGCATGGTTCACAGCAATAAAAATCATGGTATTTGAGAAATTAATAGTAAAAAAAGGGGGGTTGTTAAGCATCTTAACAATAAAAAAACAAGTGATTTTTCTCGAACAAATTTAATCTCATCACACTAATTTTCATTGTTTGAGCATTGTATCGTGTATCGCTAAAAATCGAAATTTATTTTTTCTCCCTTACAATAATTTAGCAATAAATTTTTATGTACTTGAAATTCAACAGTAAAAATCATTGTAATTTTGTTGTTTTATTATAATATTTTTTTCGGGTGCGTAATTATTTAAATAATTAAACATATTTAAAAATCTTGCAACGCTGCTCAATTTACGGCTCAATCCCTTGAAAATCCTGAAGGGTGTGTTATTATTTTCATTTTTCACCACCAACTCAACAAGAAACAAAGGAACTCGCATGTGTGTGAGTGATATCAAATTCCGATCCATGTTTACAGTCCGCGTCGAAGTCCAAGAGTGTTCAGTTCTGCAATTTGATTCAATTTTCTCAATCAACGTCCGTTGTCGCGACCGAAAAAATATGCGAATATGTTATCGAAAACAGCATCCAATCGTAGCAAATGAAAGTGCTCCCAAAAGTGCAACAAATCATTCAAGTTAGTGCATCGAAATTTCCGTCTGGATTCTGTCCAGCGAGTGTTCGCATTCTTGGCCCGATCATTGAGTGTGTGTGTGCGTGTGTCGACAGTGTCCGATCCGAAGAGAGAGCTGGGTTGATTAAAATTTCCCCTCCGCTGTCGTAGTGTGCGAGTGTTGATTTCCAATGCATTATAGCTCGCGTTTGATTACACCGTCGAATCGCGAAACGCGAATGTGTGTTGGTAATAAACAAGAGAGAAACAACACTGACTGACAGTTCGCTCGCTGAGCTGAGCCAGGAGGAATTTTTTGTAGGACGGTGCTTGGGATTTTGATACGCGCAGCACAGAGTCAGAGCATAAAGAAAACGACCAGCACGGGTTGCAGTTGTGTGGCGATGTTCGCGAAATAAAGAAGCAAAATTTTATCATTTCAACACTCTCGACGAGAAACGAGGAGGAAGGGCAGGTTATAGATATAGCTCGGTTTGAATAATTATTTTCCCCTGTAAGAATTTCGATTTTGAATTTCGCGTCCCGCGAGTGCCCGATCTTGGTGTGAAAGTGACCTCCTGCAGCTGTTTCTGACGGAGGAAATATCTGGGCGCGGTACCGTTCTTCGGAGGGGCCAACAGAGGAAGCGCTGGAAGAGTGAGTGTGGAAGTTCGCTGTGGGAGATTTTCTTGTGAGGTTTGCTGAAATCGAATCTGGAAATAGCGGAATATGTGCGATAGCAGCAGCTGAGTGATTTCCGATTAGCAGCAGTAAAGCGACACCACAAAAAAAGAGGCGTTGAGTGGTCTGGAGGGAGCTGCGGAAGAATAATACAGAAAAGAAGCTCTACAGTAGTGCGATATCGAAGCTCGGCTCAGTGTGTGAGAAGATATTTTCTAAAGCTACTAAAAGTTTACGTGAAATTTTAATTCTTCCAAAAGCATTCACATCTCGTAGAAGACCAAGTGTTGGCAAGCATTTATTAGTCATGGGGAAATTGCTGAGCTTGTTGGCCCGCGATGAGTCGACCTGCTGTACACCGAAGACGTACGACGTGTTCCTGGACTTTGAAAATGCTGCCCCGACGGATTTGGAACGGGAGGTCTACGAGGAGGTGGACCGTGTGCTGAAGCAGTCCGAGATCGTGCTGGACGAAATTCAATGCTACAAGGTAAGAAGAGTGGGAGCATTTTTTTTTGCTGATAATGACGTGGGATACCTAAGAGTATGTTGGGCTAGGATCCTTTTGTGGAAGAAAGCGATAAGCAGCACCACAAATGCTCATTCTGTTCCTTGCGCGCTCGTGTTCTCAAGGCCGAAGGTGGGCTAAAGGACCGTCGTAGCACGGCAAGGACGATGAACCCGGGTGGGGTGTCACGTTTTTGCGGAGGAGAACGAGGGATGAAAACAATAAATTTTCGTTTCCCTCGATGCTTTGGATGCTCAGAATTTCGCATTGAAGGTTCCACACTCATTGGTGTGTGAGAGCAAGGATGCTGTTTGGCAGGATTCGTTTTGCTCTGTGCGATAACACGAAGTCAGACTGACATCGCTTGCGAGTGTGTATTGGTGCTGCTAGTTCAGTGGGAGAGTGGGTTAATGGGGTTGTGTGCTTCGAGTTTACCATTTTTGGGCCCTGCTAGGTGACCCTCGACAGAAGAAACTACATGCAATTGACTGCTGTTGTAGTTGCTGTGCTCAGCCATTCATTCAAACCGAGTGACTTCGAATCGTTCTGGCTGGGGCACTCCATTGTCCAGTTCTAGTCAGTGGAGGAAGTCACACTTACCCATTAACTGTTTGTTGTTACACTACGCTTTGTTTTGCTTTTCGCCAGCAGAATGATGCACATAGGCACTCACTGGAATCGAAACAGAACCAGGTGCGACGGAAGCTGATGTACATCGTCATCAAATTAATAAGTTAGAATAACCAGTTTTCTGTTTCAATGACCTCCCACCTTGTATCTCGGTTCACTTGGAACATGGGATGGATTAACCTCGATAAGGGTGCTTTTCTCAGGAGCATTTTCTCTCCGAAACAGACATCAAAAAAGGAACAATCGTGGGAGTAGGATCACACTTTGGCTCTGCTGATTGTGAATAAAATTTGCGAGGGAAATCCCTCTCTTGATTTTGCTCTGTTGCAAGCAATGCTACTGGGATTTGTTTCGGTGCCTTTCTACTTGTGTGTCCTTCCAGCAAAAGATTGATTGACGGGCTGTCGACACAGATTTCAATGAGTTTGGCAAATTCGATCCCGCTGCGATGTGTAATTGCAAATTGATAAGAATGCATTTTGAAACGGATGGGTTGAAACAGTTCTCGTTAAACAGCAACGACTTGATCGAGGACAAAAAATTGCCAGGATAAATTTTTAGAAATGTTTTAAAGGGACTGGATGATGAGCGCTTTTTTTAGAAGCATTTGTTTTTAACCTTAATTTGTCGATCAAGTCATCGGTGTTCACGAGAACTATTCATCACAAACCAAGCATTTTCGAGGAATGCACTGGAGATAATTTGTGTGTGTGTTATTCTTAACTCAAAATTCATCCTACTAAGACGTGTAATATAACTGTTCCATTCTTAGTTCTCGAGAAATGCGGACCTCAATAGGTTATAGGTGACAAGCAAAAGGAAGTGCTGAAATTTGTTCTCAACTGAAGTCCTAAATTTCTGTGTACGAAATCTAAAAATCTAGACTAACATTTGAAAAGGGCGTAATTCCAAAATGACCATATCGAGAAAATCGCTTCTGAATTTTGATGACCTAAAAATTAATCCTATTTCACGACTTTCCATTTTCTGGATGATTTTATAAGCTTGACACATAGTTAATAGTGTAATCTATCATCATGCATCACTAAAAACTCAAAAAAAGTTTTCTTTGTCGTGAAATCGAGAAGAAAACATCATACGCCCTGATAATTTCATACATGTTGTTACCCCCCGGATCATCCACCCTTTGAACTGCCAACACTGGTGATACGCCGTGGAAGTACACCCTCGGGATATTTTGTTTGTTGTTCCGCCTTGGTTCTTCGTTCGCAATATTTGTGAGAGTGGAATTACGCCCGGAGATTTTTTTGGTCTTCTTTTTGTTCGTTGTTTACACGTGAACTATCAATCGGATGCATTTCAAATGAATCGGGCGTGACTAGAAACTACAGACTCAATACGTTTGGCATAATAAAACGATATAATTCGTAGTTCTGGTCCAAGGCGTAACAACCAGATGCATCTTAGAGTTGAAAGTTGGAAATACGCCATGTAAGAAGAAACGTTTTTGATGATTTGAAGTGATATTTTCTTCTACATTTTCGTGTTTATCGAGTAGCTTGTGAACTATTCTCTCTATATGTGGCAAAATATGGTTTGTTTACATTTTGGCTCTTCCGCCCCTTTCAAATGTTAGTCTAGAAATTAACTAAATTATTTCTTTGGAACTTATTCCAAGATATGTTTGCAAATCTATCAAGGATTTCTTTAGAATCATTTCGAAATGTTCTCAGAATTACTTTTACTTTTGGGATTCTCATAAATAACACTAGTTTACAAAACAACATAAAAAGTGTGAACTTTAGTGGTTGACCAACGTTTCTAATGCAAAATCCTACGCTGAATTCAATGCCGTGGTCAGAAAAAATTAAAGTAGAGCCATTTTTGAGATATACAAAAATTTTGATTTTTTGAATTTTGGACAAAAGTACGATTACTAAAATGTCAATATCTTTGGAACTAGTGCACCAATTTTAAATCTTTTTTTATGAAATTGGCTCAAAAATGGCTCTACTTTAATTTTTTCTGACCACGGCATTGAATTCAGCGTAGGATTTTGCATTGGAAATGATCATCACCTTACCGAGTTCAAAAATGCTGTAAACTAGTGTAATCTTATGATTCTGTTCGGTATTCCCTAGAAATTTTCTATGCTGATGTGGAATACAATTAAATGTCAGAAGAATTCCAGGAGAAATTCGGAGGAGACTTCCAAAAAAAGAGTTCTGATTGAAATTCTAAACGAATTTTGAAGGGATTTTGTGGGATTTGTGAGGAGAATTCAAAGGGGGATTTTGATAAGATTTCAATGATAATTTTGATGATCATTCCAATGGCATTCTTAGAAGAATTCCAAAGGAATTCTGATGAGAGTAAGAATGGAGTTGCGAGGAAAATCTTGATGAATTCTGGCATCTTTAGTGAAACTAATCTACTAGTACAAGACACTGAAGAAGTCTGCACATTGTAACCGAAATTCGTGTATCTGTCAAGGATATGTAGAATTAAAAGGAAATACAACGTAATAAGGTATAAGAGATATGTAGTTAAAGTAGTGGAATTAAATGTAAGTTTGTAATCCATCTTTTTCCCGAATTACTAATCCTTCTCAATTCCGCGGATCAGTGTTCACTCGGCTGTCGACAAAAGCAGACCACTAACGGCGCCGGTGGTGTAGTGGTAAGCGTGATTACCTCTCACCCCAGCAGGCCTGGGTTCAATACCAGTCGGCGCCGCCGGGATGTTCTGAGGCATAACATCTCTAATCACGCCTTCCTTCGGATGGGAAGTAAAGCCGTTGGTCCCTGGTTCATGAGTTGATGGGTCGATAGGTAGGGTCCAGGTGTGGGAGCTGCCTTCCTGGTACGTCGGTAGCATTGGTGCTCAGCACGGAAAACAAGATCGACGGAAAAAAACAAACCAAAGCAGTGGCGTCGCCCTAACCTCAATCTACCTGTTCAACAACTCTCAAAACGTAAACAAACAAAGCAATATTGGTTCAAATAGATACAAATCAGTCAAACTGGAGGACCCTGTGTCCTTTGAAATTGATTTGAATGTAAACATGACCCTAAATAACGTTTTCAAAGTTGTTGAACAGGTAAATTGAGGTTAGGGCGACGCCACTGAACCAAAGGAAAAAGCAGACCACTCTCAATGCGTGTCACACGATCGTCTGTTTACTCGGCAGTAACCATTGTGTGGTCCTCTTCATTGTTCTTCATCAGCAGTTCTTTCGGTCGATGCGTCGTCGATTTTAGAAAGCAATCGTTTATTGATGAATGTGTAAGTGCTGACCACGTTTTACGTCCATTGCTGCAATGGAAGCGCTCTGACCCCCGTTGGTGAATCTTCCATACAATGAAACCACTGGAAGCGGCTTCCGTTCTGGGGGAGGAGGTTTATTGGATAGCTGAAGATAAAATGTTTATTGTGTTGTACCTTTTGACTATAGTTTTAAGATGTATTGTATAGTGAACAAGAATCCTTGGTTAATTCGTTTAAGCCTTATCAAATAAATTATTAAACAAAAAAAATCTCAAGGAAATACTTTCGAGAGTTTTTAAGGGGATTCATAGGTGTAATCCAAGGTAATTGTGAGGAAATTTATTGGTCCACTACCAGATGATTCAGAGAGAATTCTGAGAATAACTGTTTGGGATTTTCGTAAGAATACTTACCAAATGTTGAGGAGCATTGCAAGAGAATTTCTAGGAGAATTCATTGTGGAAATTACTGTGAAAATTATTTCGAATTTGAAGAGAACTGCAGAGTATTCTGCATAGAATTTGTTTAACATTCAAATTTTAAGATGATTTTAAGGATGTTTTACCCAAAATAACATAATTAAAAAATGAGAGAATTCTATTTAGAAAAATGTGTAGACGCCCTGAGAATTTACAAAAGTATTATCTTCAAATTTCACAGAAATTTTCCTCAGAATTTCGTTGAAATCCTTCCCAAAATGCTTCGCAGAAGGCTCTCTTGGAATTCTCTTGAAACTCTCTTTAGAATTCCCTTGGGAATTTCTTCAGAATCTCCTGGAACAATGCTCAGCGCTTCATTGGAAACATGCTAATAATTTCATACCAAACCCTCCCAAACCTTTTGATATTTCTTCAAAATTCTAATGAATTCGCATGAAATTATTTTCAAACTTTTAAAATTTTGTAAAGAATGATTTGAACTTTATTAAGGATTATTTTGGAATTATTATCCATATTTCTTTGCAGGTCTCCTCAGAATTTCTCTTTGATTAATTAATCAAAGGTTATCATTAGGTGTAATTTCAGGATTGTAGTCAATCATCAAGTTTACCTTATTTAATTCAATTTGAATCCCCTTCCGAATTCCATCAGAGTGCTCCTTGAAATTCCTTCCGCTGTGCTTTA